GGTAGAACTGAAGAGGGATTGATCGCATCTGGTTTACTCACCAGAAACACGGTATGCATGAATGAATACCTCTTCGGCTTATAAACCCGATGTTTGACGGGAACTGGTCAGGCGTTCAGCTACGCCGCGACCTTGCGATCTCTCCCAGTTATGAGACTACTGATGATGATGATGATGATGATGATAGTGCATATTATTAGATATTATTCATATATTCATATATATTCATATTTAGTTGATATGCATGGTTTTGGAAAATCACATCTTCGGTCGCCGCAAGAGCATTCGTCAGTCCTTGGCACTGAATAGAAATCGAAAATTTTGTGATTTTCAGAAAAAACCTAATTGTGCTCCCACAAATACACACACACAAAATATATATATATATATATATATATATATATATATATATATATATATATATATATATATATATATATACGATATAATATTTTGTGATGACACAGATTCACTTTCTTGTTAATGATGATGATGATGATGATGATGATACATTATTCATATGTTCATATTTTCTGTTGATATGTTAACTGGATGTCGGATTCCCCTAAAAGTAATCTAAAACGATTTCTTCTTGTTTTTGTTTCATGAAACTTTTCACGAAGAATCTAAAAGAATTTTCTGATACTGAACACATCTTCATTAGCAAGAATCGTAGGTTCTAAATAAGTTATCGTTTATCCTGGACAACGGTGTCTTTGTTTTGTTTTTTTTATCTTTCTGTTTTTACTTTTTATTGTTTAACATGTGTAGCGTTGCACCATGCAGAAGCACCTGGTTGGAGCTAAGTAGACACTTCCCGTGCGATTGCAGTGGTTTTGATGCAGAAAATGTCTAGGGTGAGCCCATTGTCAAAATCAAGAACAAAGAAAAGACAGTGAAAAAATAATTCTGGTCCATTAAATATATTTCACCATCGAAACGGGTCGACTACTACTAGACAAATAAGGAAGCAACGACTGACAAATCAAGTATCCTCCTCATGATACTGACCCGGAGTGATTGCCGCAAGCAGGCGGAAAATTTCCTCTTTTTATGGAGTTTGAATATACCCCCTTCTACCAGCTTAATTAGAAAAAGTCTTAAATCATAGCTCTTAGCACAAACTCGTTTCACACTCCTAAGTGTTATATAAGAGTATCACGGCTATTCTTCCATTTCCAGCTCATTTAATATGCAACATCGGATACCAATAATCTTGACTTCAAGCAAATATACATATTTACTTTTCCCTACGGTAGACGTCGATGCTAACATATTTAGTGACCGCCACGGACTTACTATAATATCTGAAAAACGCAAGTAATTTAAATACCTTCTTTGTAACTTCGGTTTTCTTTCAAAGATAATGGCTTAACGCTAATCCGAATTAAAAGAAAAATTAATTTCCCTATATAAATAAAATTTTGAGGCATTTTTCAAGGATTGGCACATTTTCTAGCCACTCATCTAATCATCAAACTGCAATAGACGAAAATGTAGACAACAAATTTAAATTATCTTAAAAGTCCAATATTTCTCCTAGAGATACGTTTTGATGCCACTTAGTAAATTTATGGATTAATTAACTGTTTTAATTAATGTCTGCTTTTTACATAAAACGTAAATAAAATAAGATTTATTTACACACGGTTATCGGTGGGATCAAAAAGTCAAAAATAGAAAACATTTAGTCCCAACCCCTGACTCAAAAAGCGCTCAAAAAATTAAAAATTAAATTTAAAGTAATACGGAACACCAGCAGTGAAATAATCAAGGCATTGGTAATAATGTTTTAAAAAAATACCTTTAATCTTATATAACCATAGTTAAAGAAGATGTAGAAGATATTTTTTATTATATACGAATTTTTGAAACTTAGTAGAATTAATAATTTTAGTTTTCTGTCTGAATTTCTGGGATGAAGACTTTATTTGCAATATTTGCCTATACTCTATTCCATAGGAATATGAATCATTCTACGGGGCCAATAGCCTATTTTTACTAAATTAAAGCATCGGTTTGGGAATTTTGTGACAAAGTAATTGTGAGTTCAATCCCTGGTTGGGGCAGTGTGTACTTGAACTCAGCGGAAACGGGCGATAAATAACTGAGCAGTTCTAAAAATAAAACAAAGTAGTCGAGATATCTTCAGTCATGTAACGAGAACAGTCTATCACCGTAGATTAAATAAAGGTTTCAGTTCTGAATTCCCTGTAGGACAACAAAGATTAGGAAATTATTCAGAATATAAATAGGGTAAATAAAAATAAAAACAAATAATGCAAATAAAACAATGTCAGTAAACAAAAATAAAATCAAAAGTATTAAACTTAAAAATATCATTTAACGAAAACAAAATACTTCTGATGTAGTATAAAATTATAATGTTTTATACTACATCAGAAGTAGTTTTTATTTAGTTAAATGATACTTTTAAGTTTAGTACATTGCTATTATTCTTTTTTATTCCTGTTCGTGTTTGATGTCATAAAATATCTAATGGCACCCACTGCGTGTTTTTAATTTAAAGAGTTATTAAATTATCTTAAATCATATTACCCATCCGATAGTGAAAATTAATCAAAGGCGGGAATCGGTAATTCAGAATTATTTCCTTTGAACGCCCATGCCATAAATAATGTAACAGTTGCTAAAATGAAAAAAAAAATATTTTAAAAAATGGTTCACATTCTAAAATGGCATTAAACTCGATATTATTCGATTCTTCAATCTAAATAGATAAAAAAAACTAATTCTTCTTACGAACAGTAACAGGATAAATTTCAAAACCTCACTGATAAATTACAAATACTTCTTTTAAAAATAAATATTAAATATAGATTTGTTTCTGTCCAAACTAAAAAAAAACATATTTTATTAAATTATACAAGCACAAACTCTTTAAAGAAAATTATTTTTTGAGTTTTATTGAATTATTTTTATAAGATTCTGGAGAATTTTCCATATGTCCACTCTTGATATTGCATAAATATTTTACTGAAATATCAGTAAAAAATACACGAGATATCGGAAAGGTAGGGCAGATTCTACAAAAAATATTACGACAAAGTTTTAGAATAAATTAACTTAATCAGCATACAATTTATTCTTTAACGAATTAGTAGTGAAAATTCCTTTTGAATTGGAATGTTTCTTTGGCAACTATTCTAAAAAGAGAGTAGCGATTTTTGCTTTCAACTTGAAAAAAAAATCAGTTTGATGGTACCTTGGTATATTTATACAATGAAAGTACAGGTTTTAAATTCGCAAAAATAAAAGAGTAATTTTTAAATATTTTTACTCGTTTTGCATTAATCTATATTTTACTTCATTTGTAAATTTATTAAACAATGCAATTAAATTAAAACTTAAATATATAGTGAAACAAAATTAAAAAGATGAGCTAAATTAAGTTTCATCATCAAAATTCTGAAAACAAGTATAAACGCTTCCATTTTTTACAACCTTTTTTCTTAGAGAAAAAGAACTCAATATTCCCAGAGAAAATCTTACGAGTAAAATCTATTAAATGATTTACTATTTATTTCTCTCATTATATACGTTATTAGTTAATGATAATATTAATCATTAATGATAATATTAATCATTAATTTTATTGATTAATATTAAATAGAATTTAAACATTTCATTTTTCATTTTTCCTTTCTATTTTCACATTTACTAGCAATACGAAAAGAAATTCGCTAAAAGAAAAAAAAAAGCATGAAAATCCCAACATTTGAGCCAGACAACGTTTATCTCTATTGACAGCTCGCAGAGATAAATACACAAAAATACGGATGTACCCACATAGACATCTACACTACCCAATGGGGATGCTGAGTCTGGGATGGAAGATGTCGATAATACCAGAGCAAGAAGAATTTCAAAAGCGGAAACCATCAATTGACCACACAGGCTGAATCGTTCCACTTCAATGATGAGCCTATCGACGGAAAAGTCACCCGACAATGAATACCATTTTCCGCTCAAGTGATTATATCTCTTTATAGACACCTTCTATCCGAAAACGCACGGCGCTTTGTGACCTAATCATTAATTTTCTGAAAGATTTATGGATAATTCCGTTGTTGATTTTTCGATCAATATTTTCTTTCCTGAATAGCCTTACGCTTTTATGAGTTAATTTCACGAATCAACCGGTAATAAAGTTGCCGAAAGTGAAACAGAAAATAATATCCCAATAAGGAAATTGTGAAAAACAGCTTTTTACATCTTCTTAGTTTACTTTCTCTTTTTCTCTTCTTTTGTCGGCTCTTCTTCTTTCTTGCATTTTCTCTCTTATTCTCTCGTTTTTCTTCGCTTTTTGCTCTTCTTCATTTTCTTCTTTTTCTTCTTCTTTATGCTTCTTCTTCCTACTCTTCTTCTTCTTCTTCCTACTCTTCTTCTTCTTCTTCTTCAGTTATTTTTCCCTAACTCTCACGTTCTTTTCTTCTCTTTTCATAACTTTTTTTCATCTTCATTTTCCTCCTACTCTTCTTCTTTTTCTTCTTCGGTATTTTTCTTCCCTACAACACATTTTCTTTCTTTCTTCGTTTTTCTCTTTTTCTTCATCCCTTTCTATCCTGTCTTCTTCTTCTTAGTTTCCTCCTACCTTTTCTTCCTCTTGTTTTTTTCTTCTCCTCCCCTACCTCTCATGTACTTTTCTTCACGCCTTTCTCTTTTCTTAACTTTTCTCTTTTCCTCATTCAACTTCCCATCTTCTTCTTCTTCTTCTTCTTCTTCTTCTTCTTCTTCTTCTTCTTCTTCTTTTCTTCTTCTTCTTTTCTATTTTTCTTTATTGCGCCTCTTTACTTCGTATTTCATTAATTTTTTATCCATTTTCTTTCGTTGCCGTAAAATTTTATGTCTGTGAAATGAAACATTTATTGCTAATAAATCTATTTTCACTTCTTCATTTCTGGTAACTATCGCGTTTAACAGATAACCTTTTACTCTTAGAGATTATAGAGATTATATATGTGCGTGGCGTACTTCATTTATTTCGCAATTGTTTCTCTTTCGCATTTTCCACAGATAGATAGATAGATAGATAGATAGATAGATAGAAGGAGCGATGAAGACTTTTCGGATTGATTAGCCAGCCAAACTCCGACCAAATGGACAACGTCAAAATTTTGTAGGAAATATCTTCCTGGGCTCGTGTGTACCTGCTATCATTGACATGTTGAAATAAAATAAGGAATATGTCATATCAACCGGTGTTACAATGAACGAGTCATTCGCAATTAAATTAACTCAAAAATAGTTAAATATCAATGTAAAAATAAAGAAGTTGGTTTGTGATAAATTAGTAAAAAAGGCACTAAAACGTTGCAATTTTCGAAGAACGTTCCTTAAAGCAATATTAATGCAACCATCGACGGCTTCCAGATAGTTCCATCTGCACAATATCACTCACAAGGCATGGGCCAACCTGTAATATGGTTTTCAAATATTTTTCAAATGTGCCGCACACAGGGACCGCCTCTCCCAAGCCGATAACATATAATAATAATAATAATAATAATAATAATAATAATAAATGTGGGGGGTGCGCACGCCCGCAACTCTGTGTGTGTGTGTGTGTGTGTGTGTGTGTGTGTGTGTGTGTGTGTGTGTGTGTGTGTGTGTGTGTGTGTACTATATATTGGCAGATTGTATAGTTGCGGGGTCCTTTTCTTACCTTCTCTTTGAAGACACTGCGTGGTGGTTTCAAGGTTTGCATCCTGGTCTAAACTTTTCCAAATATAGAACAATTTAGCCAGGTCGTGTTCGCTATCTCTTCCACGGGTCGCTGGTTCTGACTTGTCACTTAAGCCCTAAAACCCTGTCTCTTAAACGTATAGTGGTCAAGCAGGCATCGCCTTGGAAGTTGGTTCCACAAAGCCGTGACTCTTGAGAAGACGAACGGAACTTCCTTCTTATCGATGGCGTCCGAAGGGTAAGAGGATCGTTTTCCCCTTTGAACTGGTGAAACTATGGAATGTAGTCAATCAGATCATTTTCCATCAAAATAACGACCGAATAGTGACATGCTGGCGCCATAAGAATTGTTAGTAGGGTAGAAAAAAAGTCCTAAACTACAATGCTGCGGAAGGATATTTGCACTATGTCGTGACTGGAAAGAAAGGTTTACTTGCTCCAACTCCAATATGGAGGGAATACTCCATCTTTGTTCTGATCTGATACTTTTAAAGAGTAAGCATTGCAAATTAAGACAGGTACATTCTGGAGCAAAATAAGGATTCGGTCCTTATTCTAGTGTCATTATCGATGACTCGTATATATGACTTCCAGTTTAGGTTTGGGATTTAATTAATAAAAGCTCAAAGCAAGAAGCCTCTTCAGAGTACAAAACATTCTGATGAGAATTTACTGTCAATATGGCGATCATGAAAAATTACTAGCTTGGTTTTTCCGATATTGATACATTTTGATATAATGGAATATGCGTACATCTGTGTTCCCCCTCACTGGAATATGATTGGCTGGTGTCCATCATAAATACCGACGGACGTGTAGGAGAGTCAGAGCCTTAGTCTGAGAGCCATTGATCTACACTTCTTACCAGCGATTACGAAACGTACCAGTCGATTACTGCTACCGTATTCTATTTGGTTATTGTAGCCAAAACCACTTAGCTACTTCGTTCAAATATATCCCTTTCCGGGACATATCACATTTATACGGGGATATTTATAATTAGAGTCAGAATCAGTTTGAATATCTGGACACATTTTGGAGAACTTGATACACAATAGATGTGAACAGGGACAGAGGTAGATTGTGTAAATGGATAGTTAGATCAGAGATTGGTATGGATAGTAAATGAACAAACAACGCTTCCAGTTGCAGATGAGAGGCAGTTGTGGTGTGATATAATCACCTAGGTCTGGAAACGACACAACACCTAAATGAAAAAAATGTGGCAAAATATTATGAATCTTCAGATATAATAGTTTATCCAGTTCTTAAACAATTTGCTTATAAAGAGAACGTTCTTGTTTTATGTGTCGTGTCTCTAAAGGAAGTCACCAATCAGCACTTCTTTTCAATTTCCTGTCTTTTGTAGATCTTATTAAATTCTGTCTCTTTTTTTTTCTCCCCTAAATGTCATCCATTTACATAAGCTCTTTACATCGATTATTCTTCTCTTCTTCTTGCCTTCAATATATTATGTGGGTATCAATTTTATCACATTTATGTCCTAAAAATTTCAGTTGCCTCTTTCAGATGTTAAGTATAAGTGTCCTATTTGTTTCCATTAGGTTTGGTGGTTGGATGATTTTGTTTAGGGGTTTGGGTTATTTAATGCCGAAATATAAATAATTTGAACACAATTTTTTGGCTTCAGCTAAGTATATTTTGAAAGCAATTTTACGCCCTCAACTACAGATAAAATATATTGTTGGTCATTTGGCTATAATATGTATTGTTGATAATTTTACTATAAATATGTGTTTGCAATTTTTATATAAAAATGTATAGCTGGTATTTTTACTATAAAAATGTATTTTTATACTTTCATAGTGTTTTGTTATTTTTTTTGTTGGGGGGGCAGTATTAAACGGTAGCTATGATTATAACGGGTGCTACCACCCAGGATCATCGTGAACCAGGGAACAACAGTAATTAAGATATACTTCAATGCTCCTCAAAACCTCCAAATAACCCGATCCGAGGCCTTGCTGCCGGTTGTAGTTTATCATCATATCCAGGACTAAATTAGGTTAAGAGCATGTTACATTAACTTAAAAGGATGAAAAATATATAAAATTCTTAAATTTAATTGTAATTGCATTTACGAGTACTATAACGTATATCGACGTCGAAAGTGAAATCGACGTGCCGAGTTCGAATTCCATGATAGCCTGTTGCTTTCACTTTCGCAGTTATGCTTTTGAGAAAGACACTAACCCGTCCCTTTTCTCCACAGCTATACGTTAAATAGCAGGACAGACAAATATTGGGAAGATCACGGGAGAAAACTCCACTTTCTTTTCAAGGAATACCTGAGAATTCACAAATAAAGAAAAGGAATTGGTAGATAGACAAGATCGTCTACGTTCTCAAGGAAGCATACAATTTGAAGAACTTATCGGTGAAAAATCAATGCACACAATAAAAAGACAGATTCCCTCATTTTGACGTTACTTTCAAAAATGTGTTTCAAACAGCGTAGAAAAACTGCAGACATCATTACGTGCCGTGAATTAGATTTATAATGACGTAACAAAGGACTGTCTATAAACGTAATTCAGATGCCAATGTTCCACACATCTAGGTCTATCTTCTGAAATCTAAATAAGCTGTTTTCTGAATTGGGGTTTTTAAGTTCATATCTTCCTAAGATTTGAAAAGTAATATATGCTTAGTTTATTTTCGTTAAGTTTGACTCTTGAGAGAAAATCTTATCTAATATAGAATATGATCTACAGATCCTTTCTTTTATGTGGGTTTACACAAAAAGTGAAAAAAGAATCATTCTCTGAGATTTCATTTTGATTGGGGAGAGAATGCTTTTCTAGCAGTGCCCAGTTGAATCACACATCGAAACCAGATTCTAAGCACCGACGAATTTCGTCGACAGAATAAAAGTGGAATGACTGCTGATAAGCCCTGAAATCCTACCGTAAATATGTCCCCATGGCCTTCACAGAACGCTTTCTAAACCCAAAGTGAATTCGCTGAAAACTTGCACAAAGATGTCTGAATTTTAATCGTATGGATGTACTAGGAATTGAACCGTGTTAAATATCGTGCACTTGACTGCACATGTCTGAAGGAATTGGCTCTCCCATAGACATGATTTCTTTGGCTAAGCCAGATCTGGTCGATACAACTGATTCACAAGAGATTATCAGTCCGTCCATCTTGTTGTTTTCTGAATTCGAATTTCGTTGCTCAAAACCTCCAAGGGCACGAGCTTTATGCCTGATCTAATACACACACACACACACATATATATGTGTGTGTGTGTGTGTGCGCGCGCATGTGTTTGCTTGCAAATGGGTGTGTCTGTATGTATGACTGTGTGTTTGCATGCGTGTCTGCCTGCGTATTTATGTACATGTTTATTGTGCGTGTGTGTTGGTCGATTATGAATATTTTACAAGTAATTTTTCACAGTGTCTACAATATCAAAAGTTGTTTTTAATGTGCTTTCTTTTTGTTTATTTCTCGATTTTAAAATCAATTTCTCGTTATATCCCATTTCAAATTTATCTTTAACTGTTGGAATAATTATTATTTCTTTCGGATTCCCTTCATGCAAGCGCGAACTATTTGTCTTATCGCCACGGAATTATTTCTTATATTTTACGCACAAAGAAAAAGTCTCATGACTGCGAGTGTCCGACAGAGTTAACGTCTGTACATATATAAAGGATAGTTGACTATATGTATGTGTGGGTGTAGCAGCTAACACTAAAAAAAACTACAATAATTAATGAGAATATATATATATATATATATATATATATATATATGTGTGTGTGTGTGTGTGTGTATGTATGTATGTATGTATGTATGTATGTATGTATAAACTCATTACCACCCAAGGTAGCTTTTTGTAAATAATGGTTATCATTTGATTTGTATTTACAAAGATATTTTAAAATTAAAATGCATTAGAATACATTCGAAATTCTCAGAATTAAAAAGTAAAAATGAACGGTAATAATTCGTATTCCTGGTAATTTTTACCATTCCTTTTTACTTTTGAATTTTTCTGATACTTTCGAAATGCTATACGAGTATTTATTTTTTAAATTTCAATTTTCTCTTGTATTTATTTTCCCTTTTATTGTAAATAAAAGTGTAACTTTAAAAAATTAATATTAAAACAACAAAGTAAATTTAAAAGAAGAATATTAAATGCACTTATTTGACAAGAAGTTTAATATATTTTTATTCAGATATTCGACTGTGTGCGTGTCCGATTAAATGTGTGTGTGTGTGTGTGTGTGTGTGTGTGTGTGTGTGTGTGTGTGTGTGTTATTGATTATTTATTCTGTAAAACAAAAACAACAGTGACTAAAAATTTGTTCCGGATGGAAAATAAATAAATGCAATAAAACTAAGACGTTATTTAATTAGAAAAGCTTTTAATTGCTATTATAAATAAGATATATAAATTTTATCGATGTATAATGAATTTTTACGAGAATTGTTTTCATTTATTTAAATTTTAGTTATAATTATTTAAAATGTTTTAAATCTTTTAAATTCCTGTATTATTTTGTCACTGTTAGGTGATATTGTTATCAAGTAAAAATTATATTTACTAATCATGAACTGAAAAGCTTTGTACAGTTCATCAAACTCCAATATTTCTAAAAAAATTTTGAATTTTTTTTGTATGTGCATAAATATGCCGATTTTTTGTAGATGAAATAATGGATTTAAAAGTTTTTTTTCGATTTTCCAAAAGAAAATGATTAAATCCATCATTTCAGCCCTTGAACATGTACAGCACATATATCCATCGAATGCCATAACAATATAATCATAATCCACACAATATTCATGAAAAAAACTTTTTAAATATTGACTATTACACGCACACTTTAGTTTTCACCAGACTTTGAATTAGAACTCTTTTTGCCCTTCACATACTTTGACTGACCTTCCAACGACCTGATGAATATTTATGAACGTTCTCAATCGCCTCTGTGTATATAAACACGTACAGTATAAAAAAGCCTTGATGAAGTCCATCAGAGGACGAAACGCGTCAGCTAAGTATAGTTTTTCGTCATGATTCATATATATATATATATATATATATATATATATATATATATATATATATATATTGTTCTGGAGCCCACCCCTTTTTGATACAAGTGGACTCTACCAGTGTGTACTTGGGCTGCTGTCGTTAAATACCCAGATGCAGTCAGAGTAGACAGAGACAGTAATTGTGATTGAGTTGGAGGTAGAGTAATAGTGTGAGGTAACCGCTTGTAGAAGTCACAGTTACAAGCACGTAGACTCTAAGGAAGTCCTACTTCGAGACTGGATTTATCAGACTATATATATATATATATATATATATATATATATATATATATATATATATATATTATTGATACTAACTGCGTTTCTGGATTTACTAACCGTATTACCAAGTGTATTATTGTGTAAATATATTTATTTGCTACATTTCATTCCTGCGTTTGTCATTCATGGGGACCGGATTTCATCCCGGAATATATATATATATATCAGGAATATATGTAAGTATTTACGTATGCATGTATACAGAGTGGTGCAGAAATATCTACAGCATATACTTCGCAGAAAGACCTCCCAAACAATGGTAAGACATTAATGTAAATGGTAGTTTCATGTAGTTAAGATCTTATTATTTGGGAAGTATTTCTGGGAGGGATATGTGGGTTGTATTTCTGCCGCAGCGTTTATATATATATATATATATATATATATATATATATATATATATGCATGTGTGTGTGTGTGTGTGTGTGTGTGTGTGTGTACGCATGTATGTATTTAAACAAAAGTTTGACACCACAGAACTTGTAAATTGTTTTAAACAAACAAAACCACATTTCTTCCTTGAAGGTAACATTTTTGTCCAACACTTCATCAGAAGAATCGTTGGTAACCTAAATAGAATATTAACGAAATTCGCAAAGTGACAAGCAGCCTAGGAAGCGGCCAGGAACTACGTCTAAAATACGATTTATTATTAAAATGGGAGAATATATATATATATATATATATATATATATATATATATATATATATATATATATATATATATATATATTCTTCGATTTTGCACAAACTAAATCAATAGATGAAAATCTATGTTTGCAGTTTTATTCATTTCGAAAAAAAATGCTTTCATGAAAACAATTTTATTTTCTCATTCGTCAACAATCGTCAGTTTTTCCCTCTACATTTTAAACTAAGACCAAAATAGCTATGTACATGTTTGCTTATATTACTTTGTTTTTGCTGCCTTTAACTTTTCCTTCCTTTTAACACATGTAAAGGAAAACGTTTTATGAAACATTTACAAGTCGTAATGAAAATAAATGAACTGCCTTTAATTTTTGTGCATGGTCTCCTTAACCGTGGCAGTCAACGAATCGTTCGAGGTCTTTGGCAAGTATCTTTGCATAGGGAAGATTCTGACGTTTTATCACTTTTGCTGCCAAGCATTGTAAGGATATGTATTGCATAGGAAAACGAACCAAACCACAGAGCGTTAAGTACTCAAGACAGCTACCGCCATATTCGTTGGCGGCATCCACGTGAAAACCCCGTGAAATCAGACTCTTCATATTTTCAATTTGCTGAATGGAAGCATACTGGATTGCATAATGCATGGCGGTGTTGCCTTGATTGTCTCGGGCGTTGACGTCCTCTCCGCAGTTCAATAGAGTTTCGACGACGGTTACTGGCTGGTAGGTCTGGATTGAGAGATGCAGTAATGTAGTCTCGTTCACGCCGCGTGGTTTGTTTGAGATGAGCCAGTAAAGACTTTTCCGTAGATCAGTGATTTGATCTTCTGTAAGGGAAAGGCTCATGACAGTCCGAAGCTGGTTGAGAATAAGTAATAAATACCGCTCAACACTAGCTAATTTTAAACCGCGTTTCTTGGATTCCAACTCATCGACGAAACTCACCACATTGTACAGCACATGTCGTATGAGAAAACGGAAAACATTCATTAGATAATAGCTGCGAAGACCAGCGTCAAAGCTGGCTTCGCTTATTGCTGTACTAAACGACTTGATCACATCTATGACATCTTCTTGAATGGGGTCTGTGTATATCCTTGTACCACTTAATAAACAAACAATAAGATCCATCGCCGATTTAAACTCTCTCTGATTAACATGGACAAAAGCCTTATCGATGAAAGACTTTCTAGTTGTAGGGTGTGTCGGTCCAAGAATTCGAAACTGAATAATTAGCGCTTGGGTCCACATAAACCAAGAATTTAAAGGGAGGGAGTTCAGATCTTTCACAGAATTAAACTCCGATCCTAGAATGTTTATAATTGGAATCAGATAAGAAGGTATATACTTATGATTTATACCGCACTTGTTTCGTATTTGCAAGGCTTTCATCCAGTACCTCTTTGCGGTAAGAAGACTATGCGTCTGATGAAAATCGGTCACAAAGCAACTGCCAATAATTTCGTACGCCCTCGCAATATGCATCAGCGGATAACGATTAGTTGCTATCAAGTATTCAAGGATTTCCGTTTTACAGTGTAAGGCAGCCACATCAATTGGAGTGTTTCCATTCTGGTCGATATATAGAAGCAGAGCACCGTGTCTAACAAAAATGTCGACGATTCTCAGAACACCTTTACGAATGGCATAAAAGAGAGCTGTTGATCCTCTCTTGTCTTGTTTATTCACGTCGGCCCCAATCGAGAGAAGGTAAATGCAAGTGTTGAGATTTTGAATCGAATACATCAGACACGTCCGGCCTTTCCAGTCAGCCGAATCTACCTCCGCTCCCTGCTGGACAAGATACTCAATAATCTTTGGAAATCTACAGGCAACGCTAATGGCACTTCGTCCCCTACTGCATTGCGCATTCACATCGGCCCCGTGTTCTACAAGCGTTATGACGACTTGTAAGTGGTTTCGGCTGGCGGCCACTACCAACGGCGTACATTTCATGTAGCTGGCTCCTCCATTTTGTTCAGGATTCGCGCTGCAAAAATCCAAAAAATAGTTGACCAGATTCACGTTGCCCACAGACGATGCTTGGAACAGCAGCGAACAACCATCGATTTTCAAAGAGACCAGTTTTCTTCTTTGGTTTGTGTTATATTTATTTAGAATTCGTATGACTTTCGCAGCTCGATTATCTTTTGTCAGATTGTTCATCACACGCGCAAGCTTTCTTCTCCTCCAAGAGGTATCGAAATTAGCTTCATCGTTTTCTGGCGAATCAGAAATAGATTCAATTAGAATTTAAAGCAGCGATAGACTGACCGTATTTGCCATCGTCAAGGATGCATTTTCTTTTTTCTGAAATAAGTCACAAACTTTTGGATAACATCAAAACTTCTGACATAGATAACCTTCCTCTGTGATTAGCATAGATCAACAAAAACTCTAACGTTTTTCCTTAGGGATGCACGGCAAATTTCTGAAACTCATTTCAGGAGAAAAAAAACAGCGTCTTTGACGTCGGCAAATACGTTAATTGAATATATTTTTACAATATCAAAGAGATTTTTCGAATTAGATATTCCCTAAGACATTAGATGCATCGATCTTGTACCAATGTTGATGTAATTAAAACTTATTACATGAATTCAAACTATAGACATATCGAAAATCTATGATGTTAAATCTAATTGGTTAAATCGGTTTTAGCTATGCTCATCCAATTAAATATGGACGTTGACTAGAATTTGCTTTTAATGTGTTTGTTTTATATCTTTTTACCGTCTGGTAATCAGTTGAAGTGTATTTACTATTTTGTGCATTCAATGAATAAATAGAAAATGGCGTAAGACAATGATGTGTTTTCTCACCGGACTTTCACAAACTTTACATCCTGGGAGAATTAAAAATCCCACAAGGGTGTATTAAGGGCATTTACAACCTTAATATCATGAGATATGCAGATGATAGTTTTGGTAGCAGACACAGAAAGTGAAATAACATAAATCCCACGGAAGGTCGTAAAGGAAAGATAGAAGAAAGGACTAATCATCAATTGTAAGAAGACAAAATATATGATTGTCAGCAAATGGAATAGCCCAAGATGAGAACTACCATTTGGTGACACTAAAATCATGCAAGTTGAAATATATAAATATATAGGAACTGTTTTAATAGAGAAAAGAAAATGCGACATCGAAATAAAAAGTACATTAGAATAGCGAAAACGCCTTCCAAACGCTAAGCAAATAATTAAGAAACAGGAAAAGTAATGTGTTTGTTTTAAATCTTTTTACCGTCTGGTAATTAGTTGTCGTGTATTTACTACTTTGTGTATTCAATGAATAAATAGAAAATGGCATGTATATCGGTCTTTTTATATGGCAATGAATGCTTAGCCATTTCGTCACAGATGGGGTAGTGAATTGAAGCAATAGAAAAGTTGTTCTACAGAAGGATGGTGAGATTAATACGAACTGAACATGAGAGTAATGATTAAGTTTTATAAAAAAAACTGAAACTAAAAGAACACTTATATTTCACATCAGGAAGAGACAGTTGAAATGTCTAATACGGAAAGAAGGTTTAGAGATTTTGAAACTCACAGAACAGATTGAAGGCAAGACGAACAGCGAATAAACTACCTATCAAGCTTATGCAAATGGTTGACAGAACAGGGTTTAAGAGGAATAGCAAAAAGACAAAACTTACTAAAAGCCACAAAGGACAGGAAGTTGTGGAGTGTCATGGTCGCCCACGTCCTGAATGGACACGGCACATAAAAAGGAAGAAAGAATCAAATGTTTCTTAGAACATAAACACAAATTTGGGACTAATGTTTGAATAATTTCGATACAGGTTACATGAAGCATCGTAAAAAATAATTGACAGATATTTATAATTTGCTAATTTTGTAACGGATATTGGCGTGGAAAGTGTGCTCGGCGTACCGATTTCAAATTCCATTCTACTCTGTTGCGTTCACTTTCGCACAAATACCAGCAGTGAAGGAATGAATCCATGTTTTCTCTCCACTTTCAATCAACGTTCATTTGTATGTATTTCTGCGAAATCGATGGGACTGGACAAGATTTCGTCTCTTGGGAAAGAGAAGATTTCATTTCCCCTCATTATATATGAACAAAATAGCACGTTAAACTGGTCTCTTTAAGACTGGATGGAACCTAGACTTGGAGAAGGAAAACTCTGTATTCAAAACCCAGAAGCAAGGAACGGGAAACTATTATTATTCCAACGATGATATGGTAATTGGCAAATAATAAAGAAAAGGCAATGTGGTAGCCATGGGCACCTATGTCTTGTGCAAGTATCGAACTGGAAGTTTATGAAGAACCAATCAATGTTAAAAGATGGAAAAGCAAAAAGAAGGATAAACGGAAAAGAATAGTTTAAAAAGAAGGGCGAATTTAAAAAGAAGGACGAATTTAAAAAGAAGGGCGAATTTAAAAAGAAAGGTGGATTTAAAAAGAAGGGTGATTTTAAAAAAAAGCAGTAGGACAAAATAAATATTATTTTTAATTTTTTAGTGAAGCCTTTAGATGAATGTTAATTTTTTGGTTTCTAATTACGCAATAAAAAAAAACACGCTTCTAGGGGGGTGCACTGAACTCTGTTTTGTTTTTTTTCCTTGGGAAAGGGATGAATTTCTTTCACTTTAGTTATTGTTTTAATCACAATGTATAGTTTGCACTCAGCCCTTGGATAGCATCATGTCTAAGTGTAGAAGGCATTTAAATTGCATTTAACGGAACTAAACACATGCCGTGAGAGAACTCTATACCTTAATATAAAAAGAGGAAGGTTTCTTAAATTCTGACACACAGAAAGCGAGGGAACTGATTTTTTATGGCTTATCTTGGTGGTTAATTTTGAACCGAAATATATTTTTACATTGGAAGAGTAATTCTTTTTTGCTAGTGAATGTTGCATCAACATTTTTTTAGATAATAATTTTTGCATACACAAGCCCTACTATTTAACCCATTCCTGGGGGAGTGGTGGATTCATACCTTTCCTAAGGGTATTTATGCGTAATTGAATGTAACGATTTTGAATTCGGCTCATCGACTTTTTAAATTCCGAGCGGCTTTCCGTTACACTACACGCCCATCCATGACACAGAAAGGAATATTTTTCAGCAGCTTCGACGTACTTACGCATTTACTTTCTAAGGCGCATTACGGGCGTCCGGCGACCGCGAACGAAGGTCGGCCAGCTGCTTCGACGGATTATCTATGACACAGAAAGGAATATTTTTCTAGTCCAGATCTTTTGGGCGTGTTAATGTTTAGCTCTTTTAGTTTTAAAAAAGATATATTTACCGAAGTAAATTTCTTCAGCTGGGATATGAGCGTCATTAATTTAATAACTTCACGAATTCATAGAGTTATCCAAGGCGTAGGAAAATGGGGAACACTTAATCTCGGACTTACGGTATTTACCTTCTAAGGCGTATTACGGGTGTCCGGCGACCGCGAACGAAGGCCGGCTAGCAGCTTCTTCGTACTTACGCATTTACCTTCTAAGGCGCATTACGGGCGTCCGGCGACGGCAAACGAAGGCCGGCCAGCAGCTTCGACGTACTTACGCATTTACCTTCTAAGGCGCATTACGGGCGTCCGGCGACGGCGAACGAAGGCCGGACAGCAGCTTCGACGTACTTACGCATTTACCTTCTAAGGCGCATTACGGGCATCCGGCGACGGCGAACGAAGGTCGGCCAGCAGCTTCGACGTACTTACGCTTTTACCTTCTAAGGCGCATTACGGGCGTCCGGCGACCGCGAACGAAGGTCGGCCAGCAGCTTCGACGTACTTACGCATTTACCTTCTAAGGCGCATTACGGGCGTCCGGCGACCGCGAACGAAGGTCGGCCAGCTGCTTCGACGGACTTATCCATGACACGGAAAGGAACATTTTTCGAGTTCAGCTCTTTTGGGCGTGTTAATATTTAGTTCTTTTAGTTTTAAAAAAGATATATTTACCGAAGTAAATTTCTTCAACTGGGATATGAGCGTCATTAATTTAATAACTTCACAAATTCATAGAGTTATCCAAGGCGTAGGAAGATGGGGAACACTTAATCTCCAAGAAAGAGCGGCTAGCCTGCGTGGAGAAATGTACATTTGATTTTTATTATTTATTCTCAGGTGCAAGTAGGGACTCTTTTGTCCACTATCTGCGTGTAGAAACTTAATAATACATAGAAAAAACAAATCTTGAAAAGACCTTCCAGTGCGAAACCAACCATGGCGCTCCACAATCTTTGTCTTTTGTTACTTTTAGTAATTTTACTCATTACCATCTATCTCTGTCTGTTCTGTTATCTATTCAAATAATCCACTTAAGAAAAATAATTGCTGTTTTTCTCTTGCTTCTCTTGTTCTGATTATATCCTGTGAGTGTTAAATAATCCACGCTCTCATTTATCAATATGTTTCCTGATAAATAATGTGTCTCTTTCTGATGCTATGCATATTTTCTTTTCCTTTAGACTTCCATCTTGTTCACATGTTCTGTCCATGTTATTTTAAGCATTTGCCAAAAAAAAACGTCTCTATCACTTCAAGATTTTTTCTTCATCTGTGAGAAAATTTCTCGGTATTAACTATAAATTCTTAATAAAGTATAACTACGAGATCATGTTGTATCTGTCTGTGCCATATGTCTGTGTACCTTTATAAGAATGTGAAGATAGACACAGAGAGAGAATGCCTGCCTTATTCATGTTAAGAAATAGCAAGGAAATAAAAGGAAGCTACTCGCGATAAGAAGAGACATCCAACAGCCGCCGCCTAGGAATGAAAACAAAGACGATTACCCTATTAATATCTTAACAAACATACATACAAACAAAATGCAATGATTTTTGTTTCTTTTGATACCGGTAATTTCTCGCCTTCTCTTCATTTTTCATGGAAAAATCAAACACAGTGTAAGTGGAGCCTGAACTTGTTGCTTTCTTTCCTTTGAAAATGTTTGATCACAGGGAAAAAGCTGTGATTTCCAAAACGTTTTTTTTTTTCAAGTTAAACAGGCCCATTACGTTTGTATAAAATACCACAATGCAATTCTCTTGCACTGCATGTCTCAC